TTCTTCTTCTTCTTCTTCTTCTTCTTCTTCTTCTTCTTCTTCTTCTTCTTCTTTTTCTTCTTTTTCTTCTTCTATCCCTTGGTGGTCTAAAATCGATAAGAGTAGGCTTTGGCCGCCACCTGTGCAAAATTCAAAATTTCTTACCAACTGAAAATTTTTAACGTGTCCCGCGCGCTCATATGACTTTATGCAGTTGCCAGCGCCGTAAAACTCTTTCGGAAAAAAATAAGAACTCACCGGTACACAGGGTGGAATATTGCCAGTGGAGTCCTGTTTGGCAGCCCTGTGTCGTTCCTGGCCATGATGTACTCACTCTTCACCTGCATGTACGCCGCTTTATTCTTCACGGTGCCCCCTGAGAGATCGTTGTACTCACGCCACAGGATGTCTTTGAATCTGCGCAAAATGACGTAACGGACCGTTCACAAATTATGACATCAGCTAAAATTTGGCCAAAATTTATTCCCCCCACCCCCTTGTCATCTTCTGCCATCTTTCCCAGCACACACCCCTCCCCCACCTCCAGTGGACGTCAATCAAAATGTACAGCTTATAAATAGAAAATGTGCATGATGCATTTTACACATGTATATTATATTAACACGTTTAATTTCTATTTTACATTTTAAAAATAAAAACTATAATTGTTTATTTAAGACTACAACAAAGAAACGCCTGAACTGTCAGATGATTTATTAACAACTTTAACCAATCAAAATAATTAACTGTGTTAATTTTAGACAAAGAAAATGTGGTCTATAATAATATTTTGTTTTCCTTTCTTTTCTTTTCTTTTTTTTTCTTTTCCCAACCTTTCAGAGCATCATGGTTGACGTCACCTTTGTAAGGACCCAACCCCCCCCCCATGTCATCTTTTGTCAACTTTTCACTGAACCCCTCCCCTGGGCATTGGTTATAGAAAGATTGACAAGAACTGGCCCTGACTTAGTTTATAACATCAACTCAATATAGATACATGACGTTGGTGCCTCTATCTTCCCCGAAGAATTGCCATATCTCTCTCTCTCTCTCTCTCTCTCTCTCTCTCTCTCTCTCTCTCTGCC